ACAGCCAATAGGCTGTTTCTGAACCAGCTTTGTGCTTTAAACATGTTTCAAGCTGAAGGGAGCTCAACCTTGAAGGCTTTTGGGTAAAAGGCGCTCACAATGCGCAGGGTCTTCAGCCCTTGTCCTCAACCACTTGATGGACTTATATATATGTTGAAAGCCACTTCCATGAGTGCTGCATCACCAGGTTCGATCCTCCACCATGCTTTTCGTTCGGCATGTGCACCTGCATCTATAGGGACGCTTCTCGGCTGGAACGCGAGGAAAAAGCTGCCCGCACTTTTTCATTGGATGGATAGGACTCCGTCCGTTGCCAGTGTTTTAACATTGGTAGCGGAGCTCTGGTAACAGACCAGAGCTCCGGGACGGTCCCGGCGCTGCCATGAGTGCTGCTTCATCAGACCAAGGTGGTCTCAAATGGTTCTCAGGCGAGAACGAAGATGCTAAGGAGTATCGTCGCTGGAAAGCATGGGTGCAAGCAAAGATGCTTACACTTGACAAAATGCCCAAGGAGGCTCGTGGAGCTTATGTGTTCACCTTACTCTCTGGCAAGGCTTTGGAATGTGTGGAACATTTGGACCCCTCCAAATACCAAGTTGAGGGTGGTGACAAGACGCTCTTCGACCTGCTGGACGCTCGGTTTCCTCAGAAGGAGATGTCGGATGAAATGTCAGAGGCACTGACTGAGATCTTTGGCCTTCGAGCACGAGAAGGTGAGACGCTCAAAGCCTGGATCAGTCGTGCCACTGAACAATTCGACAAGTGCGCCAGGAAAACAAATGTTGTCTTCCCTGAGGAGGCTCGTGGTTGGTTGATCCTCCACAGAAGTGGATTGACCGAAGAGCAAAAGGCTGTGGTCATGGCCCGCTCTCTGGGTGTGCTCAAGCGGGAAGAAAGTGGAAAGGCCATGCGCTCGGTCTACCCTGAGTACGTGGTCAAGCGAAAGACAGTCCCCTCCGGAGCTGCAGTCGTGGAGAATGAATTTTCTGACTCCCTGCCTCTGGAAGAAGATCAAGATGATTTCGCTGATGTAGAACAATTTCTTGCTGAGCTGCAACCCCATGAAGGTGAAGACCCTGACCTTGAAGCCTATGAAGAGGAAGATGTCAAGGAAGCCCTTGCCATCAGCTGGAAGGACAAGAGAAATGAGTTGAACAAACTTCAAAAAGCCCGCCGTTTTGCCCAAGCAGGTGATGTCCGCAGATCCTTTCGAGTGGAAGTCGAGGAGTTGAAACGCAAGACAAAATGTCATCGCTGCGGTCAAGTCGGACATTGGTCGAAAGAATGTCGAGTTGGTCTTTCCAAGGGCAAGGGAAAGGGCAAGAACACCAAGGGAACTGATCGAACCTCCGAAGCCGGTGCTGCATATGTTGCGGAAGAGCCTCAAGAGTTTTTCATTGCAATGGTACAAGAATGCCACAATGTCACCCTCAGCCGTTTGCGCGAGCGAGCAACAGTACATCCTCAGTGCAACAATCGCGCCAATGAATGTTTATTGGTGTCCAGCCCTGGCTATGGTGTGATTGATTCAGGTTGTGGCAAGACCATTGTTGGTCGTGATACATTGCTGGAATTTGAACAGTTGTGGCGAGAACACGATGTTGTCGTGCCCACCGCTGAATCGGAAGTGAATCATTTTCGTTTTGGGAATGGACACAAAGAAGTGTCTACCCAGGTGGTGCCCATGCCCGTGGAGATTGCTGGCAAACAAGGAGTGATTCGCGCTGCCGTAGTTCAGGGGAAAGCTCCCTTGTTGATCTCAAGATCTGCACTTCAGCGGCTGAACGCCGTTCTGGATTTCCGGAGCGGCAAAATGACTTTGTTCGAGGATCAAAGCACAGTGCCTTTGGAGATCAATGCTGCAGGTCAATTCATGATCAACGTGCTGAAGCAATCTCCCGACAGCGTGCCTCGAGAACCAGATTTCAAAGAAGTCATGTCTGCCACGCAGTTTCAGGAGGAAGAATCTCCGCTACCATCATCGTCCGAGAACATGGGTGATGATGTCGTTGAGCCCGCTGCATCTGCGCCTGATTCTCAAGCTTCGGATAGTTCATCAGGAGAGCCGGTCGTGTGGTCTCGATTCGACTCAGGGCTAACACTGACTCCAATCACTGGCAAGAATTCCCCCATGTGGCAGACCGTTTTTCGTAGAGTGATCCAGGATCTCGACACTGGCTTAGTGATTTTTGACCAAAAGATCAATCCACAGGAAGATAAACGCGGGTATTTGCAACCAATCCCCAAGCATGTGGTGAGAACTCGTACGGATTTTCATTTCGTGCCGCAGGAAGCCCTGTGTTCTTGTGAGTGCCTGCCTGTCCAGATAGCTCGCAAGCTGACAGCAATTGTCAGAGATGCCCCTCAGACAGTCGGCGCTCTGCTGAACGGCAAGCGTTTCCTAGTCGCCGAAGTGTTCAGCCCACCAAGATTCAGCCCCCTGGCTGAGGACACCGGGTTCATTGGGAAGTCGTATGATCTCAAAACGGGGTGCGATTTTCGAAAACAATCGGTTCGAGACAACACCAAACTGTTCTTGAGGGATAACCCCCCGGACTTGCTGGTTTTGTGTCCACCGTGCACCCACGAAGGAGGTTGGTTTCATCTCAATGCCTCTAAACTCAGTGCTCAGGAGCTCCTCAAGATCAAAACAGAGAGTCGTATGTTCATCCGGTTTTGCATGGAATTGTTTGAACAGCAGGTCAAAGGTGGTAAACAGGCAATTTTCGAGCATCCGCTTGGAGCCAAGACCTGGTCGTATCCTGAGGTGCAGCGCATGTGTGCTAAATATTTTCCACTTAAGTGTCATATGTGTAGATTCGGTCTCAAGCTACCCTCAAGCACGAGGTATATCCGGAAGGCGACACAGCTGTTGACAAGTCACGAGCACATGAAGTCCCTTGGGTTGGAATGTCCAGGAAAGCAAGACCCTCACCATTCGTGCCATGATGTCATAGCGGGTTCATGTCCTAGTGTAGGATCCATCAGTCAGTTCACTGCGCAATACACACCAGCTTTCGTCAGAGCCGTGCTGCAGACTGTCCGACCATATGTCGAAGCTGCCCAAGCTAAGCTGGTTGATGCAAGAGAGGTGAGCGTGATGGAGGTTCATGAGGTCCTAGTGAGTAAAGATGATCTGCAAGGAGAAGATGTTGACCAAATGAAGAAAGCTCTGTTGCGACTTCATAAGAACCTAGGACACCCATCCGTTTCAGACCTCGTCAGGATCCTGAAACATGGATCCGCTTCAGACCGCGCCATAGAACTGGCACGAACTCTGAGTTGTGACTTCTGCAAGGCCAACATTCGGCCGCACGTGCCATTGCCCGCTCGTTCCTCCAGGGTCACTGAATTCAACCACAGTGTAGGTGTTGACGTAAAATGGTTGAGAGGCTGGAAGGTAAACCAACAGGTCAAGAGTCTCAATATCGTAGATCAAGGAAGTTGTTTTCAGCAGGTGATCCCGTTTTTCGAGCAAGAAACCACTGTCCTTCGTTCCTTGTTTGATACCCACTGGACCAAATGGGCTGGACCCCCAAAAGAAATGTTCATGGATCAAGCTAGGGCAAATCTTGGAGAAGCCTTTCAGGGTTATCTGGATGATCGTGGAGTGACAATTCGTACCATCCCAGCTGAAGCGCATTGGCAACTGGGCCGGACAGAATCACATGGAGGCTGGTTCGCTAGGATTTTAGATAAGATTATCACCGAGCATTCGCCATCGAACCAAGCTGAGTGGGAAGAGTGTGTACGACATGCACATGTGAAGAATCAAATGATCCAGAATTATGGACACACCCCACATCAACACGTATTCGGCAAGAATCCAGAGCTTCCAGGCGACTTGTTGAATGAGCCTCTTCATGTGGTGCCCGGTACTGCCGGTCTCACCGACGATGCCGTTGCCCGTGCACAAGCAATTCGCACGACAGCTCGACAGGCGGTAATCGCTATGCAAGATGACAAAGCCCTGAGACAGGCCCTTGCTGCTCGTCCACGTGCCGCACAGACTTTCAACCCAGGTGATCTCGTCTGCTATTGGCGAGCTCAGAAGATTGTAGGAAAAGGGGTAATCCAACAAGGAGGTCGTTGGTATGGCACAGCTGTAGCAATCGGTCAAGTGGGTAAGAATTGGATAATCGCACATCGTCGTCAGATCTTTCGGTGCGCTCCCGAACAGTTGAGGTTGGCCACCACGGAAGAAAAGGTTTTGGTCAGCTCACCCCAAGCCGAACTGTTGGGTATAAAAGATCTTCTCGAAGGCGGTACTTTCCGGAGTCATCAATTCGTTGATTTAGTTCCAGGTCATTATCCTATGGAAGAATCTCCAAGAGAAACACATGAAGACGTAACTAATGATCCAGTGCCAAATCAGCAAAGCTCAAGGCCCGTAACGGAGAGCTCACCTGATGCCGAAATGCCGGATAAAGACTCTGGTCCAGATTGGGATGCCGAGCAGTCAACTGAACCGTCGCTCACAAGCAGCTCATCCCGACAAGTGCAGTCGACCGACCAGAATGCATCCAGCTATGGCCCAATTCGACGCCGAGTGGAAGGGAAATCAGGCTCTGCAGCCTTGTTTCGACCTCCTGCCATGCGACAAGAAGATTTCCTAGAGATGATTCGAGAGCTGGTCCCACCTCTCATCGATAAAGCCACTGAAAACATAAACGAAGATCCTAATATGGAACGTGGGACTAAGAGATCACTGTCTCCAAGCAAAGGAGAGTCGGAATCGGCCGAGCCTGTGACTTCCAAAGCTCGACAGGATGATTGCGAAGAAGCTCTCTTGATCCAAGAGTTCGAAGAACGCCTTGCATCCGGAAATGAAAACATTGAAGTGTTGATGGCCACCTATCTTGAAAAGAAATTGAACAAAGAATTGAAACCATCGAACAACCCACCTGAGCTTCAGAAACTGATTGATGAATCAAAAGGTGAAGAATGGACAACACTCTCCGGCAAACAGGCTGTTCGGTTGATCTTTGGCAAGAAAGCACTTCAAATCAAGGCTCAATGTGCTGATCGCTTCATTGGTTCACGGTTTGTAATCATCCGTAAAGCCATACAAGATGGAGTAGGCATTGACGTGAATGATCCCACCACCTTCAAGATCAAAAGTCGTTGGGTGGTACAGGGACATTTAGATCCCGACCTTGAGTTGAAGGCCACGGAAGGACTCTTGCAATCTCCGACACTGAGCCAGCTAGGACGCATGACCATCATGCAAATCATATCCTCACAACAATGGACCCTTCAGTTGGGAGACATTAAAGGAGCCTTCTTAGAAGCCGATCAGCTGCCAGCAAAGTACCGACCACTGTATGCAAAGATGCCCCCTGGTGGCATTCCAGGAGTTCCCGATCGAGAAGATGTGGTCATCGAAGTCCTAGGAAACATCTATGGACAGAATGATGCTCCTCGAGCCTGGCACCAAACATTCGATCGAGAGGCAGTGAAGCTAGGCTGGACTAGGTCCATCCTTGATCCGTGCTTGTACACTCTTCGATGCCCCCGAAGTCAACAGCTCACCGGAGTTTTGGGTATTCACGTTGATGATACAGTGGTAGGAGGTACGGGCCCCGAGTTCGAGAACATCCTTCGTCAAATGAAAGAACGGTTCCCTTTTCGGAAATGGAGAGTAGGTAATGGAGAATTCTGTGGAGCCATGTACATGCAATGCGACAAAACAAAAGAGATCACCATGTCACAGGCTTCCTTTGTTGACCAATTGAAACCTGCCTCAATTCCCAAGGGAGTTCCTTCAACTCAGTCGCTGTCTGAACAGCAGACACGCGTGTTGCGGGCGATCAATGGGAGTCTCAACTGGCTGTCTTCGCAAAGCAGGCCAGACTTAAAGTCAAACGAATCTGTGTCAACAGGGATTCCCTAAGCCAACCATCCAAAATCTACGAGATGCCAATAACACAATTCGTAGAGCCAAACAGCATAGAGACCTCGTGATTCGGTTCAAATCCATCAAACCTGAGGACTTGACAATTTGTTGTCGCTGCGTTTGCAAATGTTGGCCATCACGCACACGCGGGATATGTGCTTGCATTTGTTGAAAAACAACTCAACGACGGGAAGCTGTCAGCTTGGACTCCAGCTGCCTGGCGCAGCTACCGGTTACCCCGAGCAGTGAGTTCAACACTCGGCGGAGAGAGCCAAGCCCTTGCCACGGCTAGCGGCACCGCTGAGTGGTTGTCTTTACTTTTGTCTGAGGTGATTGACGGTCCTTTTCGAGCGAGAGACGCCCGAGAGCTGTTGAGTAGACGATCCCCGATTGTTGTGTTGAAGAGAACCCCTGTTTTGGCCACGGACTGCAAGTCACTTTATGATCATCTAGTGTCACCATCCTCACCAACTGCAATCGATGATCGCAGGACCAGCATAGACATCGTCATCCTTAGAGAGTCACTGAAATTGACCAATGGAACGATCCGCTGGCTCCCGACCAATCGAATGATTGCTGATGGGTTCACGAAGGACCGACAGGAACCTGCCGATTTGTTGAGATCATGCATTCGTCAAGGTGCATATCAGATTTCTCCTGAAGATACGATCTTGAAACAGCAAGCTGAAGAGAGACAAAGAAGGCAGGCCCTTAAGAGCAGTCCTCCAGCAAACAGCCAAGGTTAGGTAGAAAACCGAGTTTCACAAGTGCATGTGTTAGAGCCGAGCAATGAACACAATCTGTGTGGGTATGATTGTCAGAAGGGTCATTGTGCTCCAATAATTCAGTTTTTGTGTTATAGTCAGAATAATGCCTTTGTGATAAGACACCACGACAGTTCTCTCTCTTTTTGTGCTTGTAAGAATGAATAACCGGTTGATCCAGTATGCTTTTCGTCGCAGCCCTTTTTCTGTTTCGTGGTGCTCAAGCCTTTTTGTTTGACTCGTGTGTGCAGTATGCCTCTGACATCTGAAGAACAGATGCAGTTGAATCTTCTTTTGGCCAAGGCCTCATCGAATTCCGTGCCTCCGTCCTTGCTTGTGGATGGGACTTCGTCAGCCTTACCCATCACCGATCCATGGTCAGGTGAAGATGAAGAGTTCAGCCTTGTTCCCCTGACAACAGGGACAATTATGCAAGCGTCGGGAAGGCCTCTCATCAGAAGAGCCCGAAAGCAAGCGATCCTCTGCCGGTGTCATGACATCCACCAAAGCAGTACATGGCCCTGGTTCATCAAGTGGAACGAACACGTTGGCAAGTTCCTTTGCACCACCGCCCATGCAGAGACGCCGCCTCCGATGCCTGTTTTGAGTGCTCATCATCTGTTGCTTCCTGAGCTACCGCCTCAGGTCAAAGACCTCGATGAATGGGGTCGCACGGTGATTTGTTTCGGTCACTACAAAGACATGAACATGTCTTACAAAGAGTTGGCCATGTCGGAAGATCCAAGAGCCCGCAGCTACATCAAGTGGTGCACGGCCAGGATCCGATCGGCCACAGGTTTGTTAGGTGACCTTGCAAGTTTCCTAAGTAGGTTCGAAGCCGAAAGGGATTTTCGTGCTGATGAGGCTTGGGAAGGAGCCACGATTCCAGGCACAAGCGTGCGCCGAACGTTGAAGTAGAAATAGAAAATAGAAAATAACCAGTGTTGAAAGCCACTTCCATGAGTGCTGCATCACCAGGTTCGATCCTCCACCATGCTTTTCGTTCGGCATGTGCACCTGCATCTATAGGGACGCTTCTCGGCTGGAACGCGAGGAAAAAGCTGCCCGCACTTTTTCATTGGATGGATAGGACTCCGTCCGTTGCCAGTGTTTTAACATATATATACAGATGTTTTTGTATGGAAAAAGGGTCCTTGGCTGATAGGTCACACACACAAAGAGAGGCAAGCCTTTGATCGGACATGACTGAAGGTTGAACATGTTTA